AAAATTACCAAGTAATTACGATTAGAGTACGTATCTGCGACGTTGTTGGTTATCTTATAACCTTAGGAGACCGTACTGACGACGTTGTCAGTTGGTAATTTGATGGTAATAAAATTACAGACATGCGACGTCGAGACTACGTTGTCAGTTGGTAAGTCATGAAATTACCAAAAAGTACGAATAGATTACGTAACTGCGACGTCGTGTGTTAGCTGGGCTGTGACCTATCAATGTGGCATATTCACAGGGGCGTAATTTGCCTCTGCGATCGGTGGCGCGGTTACAGTGTATCTCGTGGCTCACGCAGTCTTCACATGCACGCGCGGAGACTTTTTGTTCGTTCCGGTGAAATCACAAAACAAAAATGTACACAAACGTGTCCCTGCTTAATATAATACAACCACTGATGAACATATTCGGTTTTGATAAAAAAAAAAAAAAAACTACGAGTGCGGATTAGAACCCCGAACCTCTGACATCCTCGGCAAAAGTTCTACCACTGGACCATTAAAGGACTCACGTCAATTTGTCGGATCTTCATTTATTCATTTATACACACATACGCGCACACACATACACCTGTCCCACCTACTTTTTAAAACAAAGTTAAGCCACTGTATATTCATTCAGGTAATTTAGTAACCCAAGTTAATATCAGGCATCATCACATCGCTGCCTGCATACAGAACAAAGTCAGAATCGCTGATTGAGTGAGAGCGAGTGGATCACGTGATATGAAGCAGTCTCGGTCTCTGCCTCAATGTTGATAATTCAAAACAGCATGAGAACTGACTGCGCATGCGCAAACCTCCGTAAACTGCGTTCTATGGACCAAAGAGGCACTGCGAACCTCTGCCTCAATGACCATGGCCTTGAATTTCCTGCATGAAACAATGGTTTTTAGGAGCAAACTATGGCAAAAGGAGTATTATATAAGTATTCCTGATTTTTTTTGTTACAAAAATTAATATTTGGAATAAAACAAATGCAATTAATAATGTGGTGAATTAATAAAGCTCTTGGGATTAATAAATGTAATGTCAGCATTTCCTTTGGTGAGGCACTGCCTACCCTGCCTACCCTGACCGCACGTCCCTGGCCATGTCACACTGCAAGATCTCAGTTGTCATTAATGTCAGACTGTACGTCAGTCAAGACGTGTTAAAAATGGTCTACGCAAGAAAAATTGTCCGGAGTTTTACATCATCAATCAATGACACGTTCGTTGATGTGAGCTGCATTTACATGCGGGATTGAAACGTTTAATTTGGTCATAAAATTGTCTTTAAAAATTAAGACAATTTGACGGTCGTCGTAGAAGTCACACTGCAGGACTGTGAGCCAGATCTTCTAACACTGCCAGAATTTCGTCAGACGTAAAATTTGATCGCAATGGTCATTAATTGGCTGTCGGTGAACACGTCAAACTAACGATCAAAGACTTCAGATTTTAGCCAAGGATCAGAGGATTCTTTGAGGATTTGGCAAAATTGTCTCAGACGGCCAAATCGTGGCCAAAATCGCACAGTGTGCACACGGCTTTAGGCTAAAATCTGTAGTCTTTGATCGCTAGTTTGACATGTTCGCCGACAGCCGATTAATGACCATTGCGATCAAATTTTACCTAATTTTGGGGCACAGTCCTGCAGTGTGGCTTCTATGAAAATCAAAAACCAATATGGCCGGTTCACACTGGCAGTGGATGGGGAAAAACCGCAAGGTCTTGAGACACGACGTGCACGTCTTTTAAAAGTTGAACTTATTTCAACTTGAGCGCCGCGTTTTTAGAACACCGTATCATACGCAAGACATGAGAACAATGGTTAAAGACGTCTGTCTAGCGCGTTTACATTGAAAAACAATGGAAAAGTGCACTGGAATGGAAAAACGTGTTCTGTGTGAATGACCCCTAAGTGGCTCTTAAAGGGGTCATATAATGCCATTTTTGTACAAGCTAATATGATTCTTTAGGGTCTAAATTAAAAGTTTGTAATATACTTTAATTAAAAATTCTCATTAGTATTGTAAGAAAACACTTATTTTACCTGGTCAAAAACAGCTCTGTTTTCAGCACGTCGTTTCAGTGCATATGACTTTAAATGATAATGAGCTTTGCTCACCCCGCCTCTCTGTTCTGCGCATACACCGTTTGTAACACAATAACACAATAACCACGCGTTGTTCATTATAAAGGTGGGATTATGAATTATATTGAGAACGTTGTACATGGAAAACATGCTGTAATGTACCCTGAGTGTAAACCGACGCATTCATCGTGAAGCGTGCAGCTGGCGATTTGCAAAGATTATATAAATATTAATATAAAGATTAATAAAACGTTACACTCACTTTAGTTCTTCTGAAGGTTCAGCAGGAAGACGAATAGGTTCCGATCCTTTATTCAGGTGCAGCTTCTCAGCAAAACCAGCTTTACACTGATCCTCGTTTATAAAGCAGTCCACTGAGAAATGATTCGGCAAACATGAGAGCATTGACGTTGCTCGTGGGGAATATTCCCTTCGAAAACAAACTCAGCCACTGCGTCTTCAGCGGTTCGGATTTAGGAACATTAAAATGACTGCTGTGTTAGTTATTACACCCAAGAACAGAACACCACAATCGCTTAGACGCCATTCTGCTCATAGACAGTGCTCCAGCATATCAACAATGACCGCGCCGATCCGCGCAGACTATGATTGACAGGACGAGCAAGGGCGGGTCTGTGTTGAATCACTGCTGTCAATCAACAATCGCGGGAGGGGCGTCCATTTTATTGACGTCACAAAAACGAACGGCTCAATTTGAGGCAGGGGAAAACATATAAGGAGATTAAAACAAAAACACTGGATGGATTTTTATCATTATATGATGGTTGTGTACAGGCACTGCCAACACACATTTCAGTACAATCAACTTGTAAAAGTGCATGTACCATTATATGACCCCTTTAAGGTGCATTCACGTGACATAGCAACAGGATCCCATTCATTTCAATGTAAAGCGGGCGATTTCCGGCGACATGAGCAACAGTGACCGGATAGGGCGTGTCCAGCGACGTGACAAAGTTGAGATATGTTTAACTTTATGCAAATGAAGAGCAACTTTCTGGAGCAACAACCAATAGGAGTGAAGTCAGTGGAGCGCACGTGATCCGTCACTCTTCAGTGCTGAGTCCGACCGAGGCAAGATGAATGAGTAGCTCTTTTTGGCAGTCAGAAACTGTCCTATAATTTATGATATGTCTCTCTGTACATACGGTGGTACTCGCCGTGCTGACTCCGAGCATGAATGGATTCATGAGGCCAGATAGACCGGCATTTGCCTGTTTGCTGCAGTTAAATAGCTGCGATGGCAAAGAGCACTCGCTGTTTCTCGTTCATCTTTAATATAAGTCATTTTATGAACTGATTCCATTTATAGTTAGACTTTTCCTTCCAAAATGTTTGTTTGTAGCGACAAGAAAACTGATTTGTTGTCTATGTCTACAACATGGAGTAACATCCGTCAATGTCATTCACAAACATTACTAGGCAACCAGTAGTGGGAACGCCTACTAGCGACCTCACCGCCAGCCACTGGCGCGCACGTTTCTCAGGCGCGTCAACGGTGCAGCGAGATGAAAAAATCAACTTTTCAGAATTCTGCAAGCGCACCACAGCTCATGTGACAAGAACCAGCTTCACACCACAAATGACAGCCAGCTCGCAATAATTGTTGAGTGCAACCAAGCCTCACCCTACCCTACTTTTTTTTTCTTGGTCAATAATCCGTTGCACTCAAATGGACGTCACAATAAGAACGAATAGATTTGTCGCTACTTTTGTTTCATTGTGATTCAGGTTACTCTTAAATAACTTGTAAAATATCCTTAAATTAGCATAAAACATTTCTAGATATTTTTCAATGCAAATTAAAATTATAGGTGCAAACATCTTAATACTTAATGATAATACAACAATAAGAAATGTGAGGTAGCAATCATTTTCCCTCTCATCCGCCATTAATGGGACGAGTGTGTAGTCCCATCCCAAACTTACACCATTGGTTGAGCCAGTGTTACTGAGTCGGGCTGGTCAGGATGCTCACACAAAGAGAGTAATGTTTTGAAAGCACCACAGTTTTTACACTTTTCGTAGGAATGAACATGCAAATGGCTTACTTCAAATTGACTGCACATTAACTTGAGAAAAGTATTGTAAAATAAAGGCACACTTCAACTTTAATTAGCAGCATTGTCCTCATCCTATCCTATCCTGTCCTATATCCGGAGGGTATGTTCTGCATGCCGTTCCTTCAGTCCTGCACACTCTAAGCTTTAAAAGGACATATTGTTTGGAGAACACTGTCTGTCACCAGACTCATGGGCATTAGTCAAGGTACTTCGGCCAATGAAATGAAAGGAAAAAAAATATTGCGTAAGCTTTCCATACCCAGATAATCGTTTTCCTTCTCGACACACATTTGCAAAATACTGTGACTGTCCTAATTTCTATATCTTACACACGTCCCATGGATAGATTAAACTCCTACCTCGGTAGCCTGAGGCTGAAGACATGCACAGCACGATAGAGAATCCTGATACTGTTTTCTCATTTGAACTCCAAACAGAATCCAGTCCTCTGCGTTTTAAAAATCCTAATGATCCTAATAATTTGCCATAGTCCTGATTAGACAACCCTCATTCAACATTTTTTGTTTAATTTTGCATTGCTTGTCTCTCATTCAAAATACTCATAAGCCTGTCATACAGGCTTAAACATATTCCTGTTAGTGGCAAAAAAGTGATCCACTGAAGAAAAGCAGGATAGTTTAGGGTTTTTGGGTTCGATCACTGCCTAGATACATTTTCTAATATTAGAACGTTTGCTTGATTTGCCCCAGCTTCTCTGGTGATTCTTGAGCACATGGCCATATGCTGCCCAATAGGAATGCAGGATTACCTTTTCCCTTCTGTAGCAACAGTGAGTTTCCTGGCTCAATTCATTAATTATTTTGTGCTCTGCCTTGGTCACAGTGTTTTGCGAACTGCTCTTCTCTAAAGGGGAGGAAAGGATGCGTACAAATCAGCCAGCCCCCGTCCTGCAGTTTAAGCCGTGTGCTTGACTGTAAAGATGAAGATTTCTCTCAGCAGAACTTTTAGTTTCAGAACTTGTACAAAGAAAGGACCTTTTCTCTTTTCCTGAATGAACTTCTTCCTACAGCAGAAGTAGCATTACACGTACTTTAGTTAAAATGATGAAAAGGCGGAAAGGGGGATGACGTATTTCGAAGGGGGTGTTTCAGTGGTGTGAGGATTGCGGGCTGTGGTTGGGTATGCCAGTGCCACGTGTCTGCGCTTGCACCTCTCTTCTCTACACAGAGGATGTCGGACTGAGACCTTAGTGCGCCTGGTCAAAGTGGGGTGAGTGCTGCCCTGTGATGCCTGCGAACACTTTGATGGTGTTTATTTGATTGCAATCCTTCCACAGGTTTGGCAAACCTTTAATGTGCCTCTTTCTTGGTATATGAGCATAAACCCCTGGTTCAAAGGTGCGCATGCGCATGAAAAAATTATATGTTTTGCTCTTCCGTCAAATAAGTGATGCATATTACAAAAAAGCTTGAACAAAATCAACTACGTACTGTATTACTTGGATTCTTAGACAAGTATGGACTTTATATTGGATGAATTTGAAACTTGAGTGACCGACACTCGTTTAGCAGTGCTATTTCCACAAACACCACCCCTCAACTGTGACGAATTTTTGGCAGACAGTTATCGTTTTTGGTAATTTGCTGAAATTAAAATATTTGGTTACTTGCTGTGCTATGAAATTAAGGGTGCTGATATTTCTAGATTTCATTGTTTCAAGGTAAGTAGAGACGCTTGTTTCTCTGTTTAGTTTGCCTTTAGATTTTGGTGTTCAAAAATTCACCTAGTCTTACATAATGACTTACTGTGTCCATCATATGACGCATGTATGAGGTGCATCATGGTTGGTGCATTTATACAGTATGCACTTTAAAAGTTTGATTGTTACAGTCAATCGTTACAACAAAATGTAAATGCTTTAGTCCAGCTAGTCTGTTATTTTTGGGAAGTCTGACTTACAGACCAAGATAATGCATTTAGAGCTCATCTTTGGTAAGCATGTATAATCGGACTACAGTAGGCCTTGGTGTTGTGCACTTTCTCTGAAAGACAAGTCTATTTAGTCTTTGTAATAATTAATTGCGCATTCAGTAGTGGTGATGTCCGGAAGGGATATTTGTTCTTAATGACCCTATCAGTTTGATTAAACCATCATAATATGAGGAAAATATTTTATATTTTAAATATGAGGGAAGAACAAAATGCTAAACTTGGTTTTTATCTGACAAAATAATTTGGCAAAAAAACTACAGCTACAAGTTTTATGCTAAAAAAAATACATAGAAAAACAAACAGATCGCAGGAATTGAGCATACATTGACTACAACATAATTAGGTATTAATATATTGCATTGATTCTCTCGTTTTTGCATGTTACAGTGTTAGCAAAAAAAATTTGTCCGCACAATTTACCATGTTTAATTGCATTATCACAAATATAACAATTGAATCTAAGCACAACTACACAATATGCTTAGAAAATCTTTAACACATTTTTTTATAGTATTTGAATATAGGGTGAAGAAGTCAATTTCCCAAGGTCGTTATTCACTTTTGGCCACTACTGTATACTTGGACTGAGATGAAAGCTGTAGCTGGACTATGCAAAAGCCTGCGGGAGCTCGTTTGTAACTGTGCATGTAAACTGACCAATTAAGTTTTGGCGTGTGTATTTTGTTATTTATTCTTTTAGAAAGAAAACCTCTGTGTGAGTTATTTTGCGCTTATTAATATACTTTTGTCTTTTTTCTTACAGTCATCACGTTACACTGGGAGGATCACATCTTGAGAGGGAATGTTGAGCAACCTGCTATAAGACGACACCAGCTGATTTGGCGAAAGAAATCTGTAAAGGACTTCATTCTTTATTTCTTTTCCGGTTCCTGAATGAGCATGCTGCATTCCCTTTGTTCCATCATTTGGCTGAACCGCGGGTTCAAGTTGAGAAAAGTGGCCTGTTCGGCTAACACCGGCCAGGTCTAAGCCTTTCCTACCGCGCATGCCAGCTTATGAGCTCCGGTCAGTAGTGCTTAGCTTTCAACTAAACGTCCTACTGTACGACATCATTCGCACCCTTGCAAAGTTTCACCCCCAGTCCGACACTCTTCTGCCAGGGGTGATTGTCATTTCATACTCTGAAAATGGCTGCTAATGGCTTCCAGTACAGATCTCTGTACGCCTACTGTAAGGACTGGGAGGATGACATTGACCTTGAGCCCGGTGATATCCTGACGGTCGACAAAGCGTCTCTGCTGTCACTGGGCATCAAAGAGGGAGATGAGCAGCACCCGGAATGCATCGGCTGGATCTTAGGGTTTAACGAGCGTACCAAACAGAGGGGAGACTTTCCGGGTACGTACGTGCAGTATGTGGGACCTGTGAAAATGTCAATGCCGTCCTGCCAGCCTCGTTCTCAGAGACCGCTTCCTGCTGTTCCCAGACCTGAGCCAACTTTGCAGGGTAAGACTGGGTGCTTTTTTTATTGGCTTTTACTGTGTTGACCAATGACTAACCTGCTTAATGTGTGCTAAAGAGAGGTCAAAACCGTTTTGTTTTGGGAACTGACTGATAAGCTTGTTAAATCAAATCTCAGATCTCTCATAATAAACATTTGTGGATTTCCCCCCCTTTTCTGTTGAAGGAAAATTAGGATTTTGCTTTTGACAGCTGGCTTCTACAGCAATATTAGTTAGGCATTGAATCATCAGAGATTTTACTCATTTTTTGTCATCTAGCACACGACCATCTAACTCTTTAAAGGGGCTATATGTAGATTTTGAAAATCCATGTTGTTAGCGACACCAGTGGCCTTTATGTCAACAGATGAGGTAATTAAAATTACACTGTTATGAGAGTTTGATTATAAATTATTTGAGACTACAGTGGTATTCAGTGGTATTCAAATGGAAGGAACATAATTACGGCGTTTTACTGTTTCTACAATTTAAAGTGAGCAGCGCGTCGAAACAATGGAGCGGTTCACACCACAAGCGCTCGGTCGTTTACGGTAATAATGGTCTTTCAGCGTATATCCTATAATATCTTTTATATATATTAATTTATTATATTAATATTAATAATATGTATTTTCTAGAGCCAAACGCACTTCATTCAAGCCCTTTCCGTTCTGTGCGCATCTGTTCTTCTTTCTCCTGCTAAAGATGTCGCGGTCGTTTTTAACAACAGTAGCAGAAACACGGTCAGCAGCAAAATAGATCTTTTTGCTAAAACACTGCAGAAAACAAAAAAGTACAGCACTCCCTGTTTTCAAATTTTTTATCATTAACATTATTCATTTTTAGCATTTAGTCATTTATTTGTTATAAACACTTTAAGTGGGTTATTAAAAAGGGTCAATTACACGTTGAATTATGTTTTTTAAAACACACGCAGAATGTTGACGTCATATTGTGACCGTTGCAGTGTGCATTAAAAGAATTTGTCCGCTTTACTCCTGAGCACTAGTCCACCTTCAGTGTTGTGTAAGCTAGGCAGGTTTTTATGTTCATTTTTATTTCCTGTCGCTGTGCAGGCTCTTCTATTGTATATGACAGTGTTAACAGCTCAATAACTTAAAATCTTAAGTTATGTCCTGTAGACCGGTACAAAACAGCACCCCCATCCGAAAACATCTTCCCGCGCCCCTGCACGTAGGTCTCTAAATGTAAAATAATAATCATAATAGCCTGATAAAACATCTGATCTAGCCTAACCTTTTGATATTAATATTCAATTGAGAGAAATATTAACTTAATTTTTTTTGGTAAATATTGGAAAAAATTCTTAGACATCACTGCTTTGGCTCTTTGGGCCCAAGATTCTCATCTTTGATGACTATTTTGTAGGGGTGTCGAAATTAATCGTTTCTACGATGCATCGCGATGCAGAAGAGGACGATTTGGTATCGGTTCAGTAATAGACCATAACCGATTATAATTTATTGACGCTTTTCTGACGTCATTTGTCGCGTATGTGCTTTGTCGCGGTAGCATACAATGGCAGAGGGAGGCGAGACGCGAGTGCGAGTAATTAAAAATGCTCCAACTACTTTAAAAGCCTACATCTGGGGCTGGGCACATTTCAGCTTTTATGAACAACCTGGTAAGCACGACCTGGAGAAGACACGCGCTGTGTACGCTCATGTCACGCACAAATAGAATATGCAGGAGGTAATACCACTAACTTGATAATTCCCGTTAGCCGTTTTCACCCCGAGCTGTTAACGCCTGGCAGAGCGGATGAGCTCCAACGTCACCCTAATCCGCAGCCAAATACAAATCATCCACCCGCCCCAATAATTTTCTCTGATTTAAAGGGACACTCCACCGATTTGCATTAAGCTTTTCATTGTTATAAACCCAGTTATACTTTTGAATGGTTGTGCAACACTCTCTCATTTTCCCTTGAGACGAGAGAAATCTGTTATTTAACTTTTTCACTTCCTCCTACAATGACGCAAAAATCGTCATTTTACGTCATTGTAGGAGGAAGTGTAAGAGGGGGGGATTTCTGTAAAGACTACAAGCACTAGATCCCTTTCAAACCCGCCCATAGGGGGTTGGACCTAATGCGCTAACAGACCTATCACAGATCAGTGCCACAGGGTTTCCGCGGGGTCTTAAAAAGTCTAAAAAAGTCTAAAATTTCACAATCACAATTTAAGGCCTTAAAAAGTCTTAAATTTGCTGAAGTATTGTGTTCTAGGTCTTAAATAATTTTAAACAGGTCTTAATTTTCCTACGTCCTGCCGCAGCGCTTTGGAATGTTTTTTTATTTTTTATTGCGTGGTGTTATAGTTCCTTATTTCGCTAGTCCAAATATAATTCACTTTAATTACGACTACAAAATAGACCAACATGCAACAGCCAATCAGCTTTGTGCATCCATCTAAGCTGTCTTCAGTACTGTTCAGTTTGAATAAATTAATTTACTTTGCAAGTAATTTTGAGACTCTGCGTTTCCTTTGTACGCTTTTTTTTTAATGTCGTGATATAGGTCTTAAATTTAATTCATAATGGTCTTAAAAAGGTCTTAAAAAGTCTTAAATTTGACTTTGTGAAACCTGCAGAAACCCTGGTGCCAGTACGTTTGATTTCACCGGCAGAAACTTTTTGAAAATATGGACGAAGTGTCTGAATGCGCAGACGGATGCATTATGGAGGATTGGGATTAAACATAGTGTCAGCCATATTTTTTTTTGGAAGCTAAGCTAGCAGCCTATTGTTCTGTGGAGAAAGCTGAGTAGTAACTTTAGGGGTTACCGTCCTCTTTTTCCCGGACATGTCCGGCTGTCAATGTCCGGGATTCAGCTTTTGCTTTCTGCAGTCGCCATGCATTGTTTACATGTACAGCTTTTGTTTCAATCTAACTAAATTCATTCTGATTGGTGAATCTGAATGTAGTCTTTACATGAACGCTAAACAAGTGATCGATTGATGTGCGTTTTAACATTGCTAAGAAAATTCCTGCTCCTCCGTGAGAGATACGAGACCGGTGCGTCTCACAGGTGTCGCTCATCAGTAATCACGCCATCGGCCTCGCGTCGTTCTCCACACGGCCCTCAATCTCGTCCTGCTCGCCACAGTAAACATAATGAATGGCGACTGTAGAACGCAAAAGCCGAATCGCGGACATTAGGCGATCTCGAAACACATTTTCGGGGCAGACACATCACGGAGACTCACTAGTAGCCTAGACTTGTTGTTTACCTACATCGCTGTTACCGGTTGGCGTGGCCTCCTAGGGCAGCGAAGTAAGTGCATTCTGGGAGTTGTTGTCTTTCATCCACATAAGCCAAAAATACATTTTCTGGCTTTTCTCAGTCTAGAAAGCTCCAAATTCAAAAATAATTTCACATTTCTTCTACATAAATTACCCATTTTAAATACACATTCATGACATAATCGTAATCGAACCGACAGTGAGACCAGTGTAGGTTCACACCCCTACTATTTGAGTGTTTAGGATTTTTTCTTTTACTAAGCACTACGGCTGCCCTGATGGAAATGTATAACTGTTCCAAAATAATATTGTTTGGACCTCCGCTGGGAAGGTAATATAGAGACCGGACCACTAATGGGAACTTTAATTTAATACCCCTGCTATAGACTATAAAGATCTGGCTATGTGAGACTATAGTTTGAATTAATCCCTTTTCTTTGCATGACACATTGACATTACAGTACAGAATGGCTCTTTCAGCATTATTCTGATCTGAACATTGCATGAGCATTCATTTCTTGTTTCATTAAATGGAAGAGAGGCTCTCGGGAGCTTGCGTAACCATCACATTCTTTTGATTTTCCCGGCAAAAATGTCCCAAGTCCTTCACATAAATATCAGTCTACAGGCTATATAACGTAGGAAGTTGGGGAAGGTCTTGTTTTTTAAGTTTCATTACAAGCTGTTCACACATTAACATTAAAAAGCGGTTAATACATGAACATTTTTACATATGATATATTCTCTTTGGACAAACTGTCTTTGCTCCTGTATTTCTCTGGTACTTTCCTCGAACCCTCTCTCCTCCTCCCTTTATGCCCTCAGGAAGCAGTAAATTATAGTATGTTTGGAGGCCTGGCAGTTCACCAGGCCAATTTGGAGAGTTATATGTATCAGGTAGGGCTTTCAGCTTCATCTGCACATTCCCACTCCATCAGGTGATTCTTGTTTCAATGTCTCCTTTGTGTCCCTTTTTTGGACTGTTAAAAGTCTGCAGTACGCACTAAAAAGTTGTCATATTCAATCTGTGATGCTCACTGACTAAAAAGAGAAAGTATGAGAAGTGTTGGTGTACTTTGAAGTGTTGAATTACAGGGGCGTCAGGAGGACCAGATATGCACCATTTTAGCTGCTGCTTCTGAGTAATATCCAGACCTTTTCACATTTTCAAGGCAAATCTGAGGAATACAAAGTTTTGAGTATTTAAACATGTAAGAGGTCACCATGATCTTGGAAAACATGGAAGAATCTGTGAATTTTTTTAAATTGTGATTTCCAGGCTTGAAAAGTTAATCTCTAATATATATATTTTTAGCTAGAAATCTTAAAATATTCTTTAGACAACTGGACAGTTTATGGAAATTCATTGGTCAAAACTTTTGGCACTAGTGTTGCTTTTCGAGTCTCCTTGCTGTAAACAGTAAGTTGGAACAAGCTAAAATCACTTGCACATTTCTTTCTGTTTTTCTAGTTATGTAGCTGTAGGAATTAACCTACACGCCTGAGACATTTGCCTGCTGCTTAAAATGGATTTGCATGAAAATGTAGCATCGAACAAAGAGGAATATAGAAATTATGCTCTATTAAGAAACTAAATATGTCATGTCAGATTAATAAAGCTAATTACATTTTCAAGTCCAGTATTTTGACATTCTGTGATGTTTTCAAAAATGTTTCACCAGTAATAATCCTAAAAAATATTTTACCAAATATTGAAGAAAAAAAACGTATAATAATGT